TGCATCTTGTTATGGCAACCCATAGTGACAGCAAATATCAAACTGAAATATATGAAAACATCTTTGAGAATGGTTAACGGCTCGTTAACGGTTATGGTTCAAGAAATCGAGGGAAAACCCCAAGAAACCATCGATACTGATTTTGCAGTGATTCTTAACTTGCTACCAGTGCATGCGAGATTTAGAAATCTGTATGATGCAGCTTATACTCGCTTCAGAAAAGGGTGTTCCGAAGAGAAAGCACAGAGCTATGCGGAAAATGTAAAGTTGGTAAAAACTCCCTAGGGAGAGAATATCGAGATAATTGGAAATAGGAAGATCCCTAGGAAATAATACCAGACTCCTGCTTCTCTTTTGTTACCAGAGAAAATAATGCTTGTGGTTATAGTTTACGCAGTTCACACATTCAGCTTGGTTGCATAATAATAGTTCAATTGCCAGAGTCAAGGTGAAGTGTTCCTATTTTTTGCCCATTTTGTAGCAACATAATTTCGTACTGTGTTCATGAGGCATGATGCTGATTATGCGGTTTTATCTGATTGCATTTCCTCTAGCCATGGCCTACTTTCGTAGTCAAAGAGTGTGCAATTGCAATAAATAAAATCAAGCTATTTTTCGCGGTTCAATTCCAACTAAGATAGCGATTGATAGATAGAATTCGATGATGATGATAGTACCGCTTGAAAATTTTGTATTCCCCGGTTCCGCACAAATGCCCATCAATTAAAATACTTATATATTTCAAATCCAAATTCGATTCTTCATGCGATTAGCAATAAGGTTCAATTGAAAGTGATGTATAGGTTTCATCTACTCACTGCATCGAAAGTAAGCGCTTGCTCCCTCATTTAAGGCACAAACCTGTCAATTTACTTCCTCGGGAGAAAATGGTGATTTTCCTAACAAGTGCGGAAAGCAAGCAGTCGAGTGCGGGAATAGTAAGTTACGTAACAAGTCCAGAAAATACTGTTTTTTGGACGAGTAGACAAAATTCTAGGCCGAGCCGTAGGCGACTCCTGGAAGTCCGCGAGCCAAAAAAAATTGTTTTTGGACGTGTTGCGTACACAATTTCTTCGGCAACCATATGTAGAATAACAATTCAATGAGACACATTTCCATATTATATTTCTTTGTGGAAATTTGAACAGAATACATATACCTACTAACTGCTTGATTGGAAATTTCGTATGGACATTTTCAAACTCACTATCGCTACTGCTTTCGATTGTTTACTGCGATAATTGCAACCAAAGTTTCAAAAATCCAAATGTCATCTAATTTCATGTCGAATATTTTGCAAATATTTGCTGCTATGGTAATTATCATTTGCATTCATCAAAACCTTATCTACCAAGATTTTCATAGTTACAGTGACAACAACGATGTGATACTTCCCAGCCTAGTCCGGGAAGAACTTTCCGGGCGAGGGCGGAGAAATGCTACTTTCTCAAAGGAAAAGCGTCCGGGAAGTGAGTAGTTCCCGGATGGTTGGCGAAAAAGACACTTTCCGCATGAGCTCGGAACAATATTTTTTCTTCAAGCGTAGAAAATTGTTTGATTTGTTCATTCAATTATTCCTGCAAATAGGAACAACTATAGAAATAGTTATATATTCTCTATCTTCCAATAGTTAGTGATATATCTATTGTGTGTACTGTTTGAATCCTCATGTGGGTAAGCTTATTGCGGAAGCCAGCATGCCCATGGTGTTTGGCCTCTAGATTTCCGACATTTCTAGGAAATGAGCCAAAAATACTCCTTCTTTATTTGGTGTTCCCGTTTAGTGCTTCTCATACTTTTCTTAAGACTTATTCGTTGGCAATAATCATCTGTTTCGCATCTGTAGCTGGAAATTTTTCATCGCAATTCCACTGAATCGAAAATGACAGTAACGCTCTGTATGTCACTCTGGGAATTACACTAACTTATTTGTGATTTGATTGACATAACAACAATTGTTTCCCACATCAGATCATTTGAAGGCAATAAGAAATTTATATAACAATCAATTAGTATTTTGCAATATTTTCTAATTCTCACAATAAATAGTGCAATTTGATGGATGAATGTGTACGAACTTACTAAATACTGCAACAAAAAAACCTAAAATTGTCATCTTGTGTCACCCACCATTCACATTTCGCGTGAATATTATATAAATTTCCCGCACTAGTGTGGGAAAACTTTTCCCGAACTACTGCGGAAAAATTACATTTCCCAAACTAAATTGCGTGCGGGTATGAGGTGAATCACGCACGCTTGTAGAAAAAAAAATACCTCCCGTGGAAGGTAATATTAATTGGCTCCATCTTGCTTCCTTGGTTGATGCGTATAAGATCTGTTCTACCCAAGTAGCACCTAATCAATGCATACTTTGTGGTATACTTTGAGGAACTATATATAGGAGAGGTGTCTCCTCTTTGGTCACAATATTCAATGTCGCGAAGTGCCACAGTATAAAATGAATACCTATAAGTTACATCACTTGTATTCTTTGAATTTATGCAGTGGGAGAAAAAGTATAGTGTGCAACACGTGTGACAACTACTTTTTCCACTTATTGCACAATATAAAATCTGGCGTGCCGATAAAAAAGATTCATGCCCATGGTATACACTCTATTCCTCAAGCAATCTTCAGAATCATTGACCTGAATGAAGTGATTTGACAGTTCTTGACGAAACGAAAATATGATCCGCCTATGATCTGACCCTGAATAACCTTATCACTTTGGGGTACATTGCATTCTTTGTAAAGAACACGAAGTACCCTCTATCGGGTACAATTGCACAAACATTTTCAGCTTCACTGCTAGGTAACGTATTGCCTATCCTGAAAACCAAAATTACTTTAGAAAATCTCTCCACATCCTTACTATAGAGTAGTAACCCTTGAGCTTTCCTAACTGGTGTGAGGGATGGAAAAATATCTATACATCAATTTTCTTCAAACGACATGCATGTTGCAAATTTGTTGGAAAATGAGAGCACTCTCTGAATCACGCATGTGATAAGAACGCAACAAATCTTTTAAACGCGGACATATCACTGACAAGAGTGACAGATCTGAAGAAATATCCATATTATCTGCATATTATGCCGTTTCTCAATATGAGATTGCCATCAGAGATAATAAGACTTCGAATTTCATTCAGCTGGTTCTGAAAAATTGCAGAGCAATATATAATAAGTAGTGATCTGAATAATCAAGAAATTCTTCATAAGTATAAATTTTGTTGTGTAATATGCTGAGCAGCTTCCACGTGATTCCGATATGGATCTGTTCTAATCACAATAATGCATGTTACTGAATATTATTAAATGATAATCAGAAAGAGAGAGAATTATTGCATTATAGAATACTTTTTGAAATGAAGGCACTGAATTTCGTAACCTTAGTAATTTGATCTTCCTGTTGAAGCGTATCAGTACCGGAGATTTTGAATTTTAGCCTAGGACCATGATACCTTGTTGCACCACCACTTTTTAATTTTGAACTCTACTTCTTGGTCAAAAGATAGTCCTCAGCGTACATAGCCTGATGACAATTTTTTTTGTGTAATTATTACAGTAAGAAACATTCATTCATATTGTCTTCAAAGTCTAATTTGAACATACGACTAGAATTTTCAGAATTTTCAACCGCATTTTGAAAAAAGGAGAGGAAGAAATTGTTCGTCTGACTTCTTAACAGAATAATGAAAAAGCGGTGTGCATGAATCGGTCTTTACGTTCACGTATTACCTTTCGAATGTTTGGCATCGGCCGGTGGATCCTCTGTGTTACCTCGGTACCTAATCGACGAGTATCCAAAATTCGTGGCTACCACTGAAATTTACTGATTGTTTGTCCGAGTTATCTTTTTTGAGCTTTATGGTTTCCGAAGGTGTTGATACAAGAATGATGATTATTCGATTTTTTCCACTTCTGTTAATTACCTACCTAATTACGTAACTAGTGGCTGGCAAAAACTGCAATTATCAAAATATAGCTTCCGTTTTATTTTTAGATTTACCGCTTCCTATGTCTATACCGCTTATCTCATTCTTGACCTGGCAACACTGGCAAAGACGTACGATAGCCGACCAAATCAGATATGTTGCCATTCACATCCGCTATATGTAACGATTGAACAATCGATCTGTATAATATATGGTCGTTGAGAAAAAAGTGCACATGACTCGAAATTCATTATATTTGTGTATATTTTATGCACTCGTTAGATCTATTGGTACGGTTCCACTTTCCACACAATGTGATATATTATTTTCGACGTTTATATTAATACGTAATTTTGACCCACTTCAAAACGTCCGATTGATTTGAAATTTGGCAGGTGACAATGCGTCATGGAATTTTTTTTAGACAAAAAACAATATGGCGGCTCCAAAATGGTGGACGAGTTTTGTAATTATGAACCGATTCTATCCAAAATTTGTATATGGAGATTGTCGCGGTCGGAGATTATGAATCTTCCATCAACATATGAAAATTCAAGATGGCGGATCCAATATGACGTACAAGTTTTGTGATTATTATCATTCGATTCTATTCAAAATTGGTATCTAAGAATTCCCAGGGTCAGACATTATGATTCTTTCGTCAAAATTGGGAAATTCAAGGTGGTAAATCCAATATGGCAGAAGAGTTTGATGGTAATCATGATCTGGATTCTATTGAAAATTTGTATCTGGGGGTTTTCTTGGTCGAAAATCATAATTCTTGCGCCAAAATAAGGTATACTTACATATAAAAAAACTAACTTTCGTAGTTATCCGAACTAAAAATTAGAAAATAAATAGTAGTTCAAAAAACTCAAGGAACACGCTTGGAGAAAATAATCAAACCAAGAAAAAAAATGGAAGTGTGTCGATAAATACTCAACATAAAGAATATTAGCACATTTCATTATTATATTTTCTACTTCTTTTTAGTTTGACTACTTATCGTGTTTCTTCAATATTCCAAACTTCTATTCATTTTTTGTCATTTTATTTCTAGTAATCACAGGATCAACAGATGGAATTGGTAAAGCCTATGCCTTCGAGTTGGCGAAAAGGGGAATCAATATTGTCTTAGTAAGCAGGAACGAAGAGCGGTTGAAAAACACTGCCAAAGAAATAGGTGAGTCTCACGATCGATGAACGAAAATCAGAGATCGTTGTTTCAGGTATTCAGTTTTATATAATTTGTATGTATTCAAGGCAAACCGCAGCGACAGCGTATCAATTTGAACGGAAGAATTCGCATCTGAACAGTTTGAGATTAAACTGGAAATACTGGAATAAAACTTCTGATGTCTTGTATGAGAGGATTTATGATGATTTCTCACCTTGATATGTTCATTGGCAATGAGCAAAAATAATTATATGCCTGAAGCACAATAATAATATCTGAATATATAAATCTGAATTATAAATATCACACACTAAGAAATACAGTGTTATAATATTTGATACTAATCAACACTATAGCTAAAGTTTATACAGGTCCCTCTAAATAATGTTGAATTCTGAAACTAGGAGATAGTGTGAATATTGATAAGTTCATATACTTGATAAGTAGAACACAACAACTCTATACCAGTGTTAACCAATGGAAGTCGTTGACACTCCTACAGTGAAGTATATAACACTAGTGAAGTCAATGTTTAGTGTACAATAACAAATTCTAGATATACTATAGAACTGTAATTTCTTCATCAAAATACGCTATACTTTATTAAGTAATAATTTATTCAATTAATTGTACATACAATGAAATTTGGTATCCATTAGACATTTTTGAATTAAAGGTATGTATTGAGCATATTATGCGGATCCATTCACGTAAGATCACACTCTCATGAGTAGATATTCTGATCCCCCAGAACATGTTCTATCACTTCAATATTTTGGACCAGCAAGAAGGGTTTACAATCCTGTCGGTTTTGTATACAAACCTCACTCACGGGCTGATTTTACTGCAAATTAAAAAACACTTTGGTTATGTGACATTTTTGAAGACAATCAGTGAATCTTCGTAACTTCCAGCATCTTCCAGTTTTAGAGGTTGATATTGAGGAGCTATATACATATACAGGCTGATTCACGGTGAATGGCACATTACAAGTTTCTGGAGATCGCAACGTAGGATTATTTTGAAAATTCGGATCCTCGGATAATTAGTTCTGTTCTATCCTGAAATATTCTCAGCGCTGGGACGTTGCCGCTTATATTGAAAAGTAGCAACAACTTTGATTTTTTCATTGGGACACCCTGTATATCATTCTGTTTCAAGATTCTTCCTGAAGAGCTGATTTCATCAATCTATCACACTTGGGGTCTAGCGGAAATGATGAAAAATCGAGATTTTTCAACTTTAAGAAACTATGCATAATTGGTCAAAAACGGAGTTCCAACAATAGATCGTCATATATTTATATATACTTGATGTTGTTAACGGTTGGTTTTGGTATCACGAATAATACAGTAAATTGTCAGAAATTATTTGGGTCATCATCAATTCCTTCTTGAACCACTCTGTAATCGTGAATTCAAATTACCTAACTGGTAGGTAGTATTGCATCTTCATAAATCGAGTCATAAAATAACAATATATTATTATTTTCATAGTTATGCAATATTATAAAGCTTGAAATAAATGGATGTTGATGAACTCTAGTGAGGATTCTGATTATAGAATCTGATTATATGTTATTTTATGACATAATCATTTCAATACAAGTGTGAATTATTGAATTAAACACGGTGTATCAAGACGATTCTGTCGCCTGTGATATTTGGTAGACTGCATATTAACTATGATTTTTTTTTTTCAGAATCTGAATATTTTGTGAAAACCAAAATTGTAGTAGCCGATTTTTCACAGGGATTCAAAGCTGTTGAATTAGTTAAAAAAGCAGTCGGCCTCCTACCCATCAATATTTTAGGTGAGTATGAAAAGGGTGCATCTGAAGTATTGACTTTTCTCAACACGTTTTTACAAAGTCACCGCAATTCAACTTGAGTTTTACAAGTTGATTCAGTAGGAAGTAACATGAATTAAAAGGATTGTATTGAATATTTCGAACGATTTCACCCTCTGAAAATGTCTTTCTACCAAGATATAAGGTGATTGAATATTGGATCCTCTCGCCGAATTACTATTTCGTAGCCATAACAAGCAATGGAGGCTGTAGCAGACCACTCAAATTAATGATTAGTTCAACAACGGGGTGCACACATAATATGAAGGAATTCCTGATTCAGTGATCCATTTGTTCACCTTGTAATTCTTGTATAAAAAAAACGCACTTTTTTCCTGGAATATGTTCACTGAATAGCACAAACTTGATAATAATTTATTTGAAATATTCATTGGATTCAAATATTCTGAATTCAAGAAATTTATATACTTTCTAGGATACTCAACCAGAATTCTTGAGAGGTACACTATAAGAATTGAAGAGCATACCTTCTCATTCATTCTTTACTCCAATTATCAAATGGGCATTTTAATTATTTCGATGAAATTGAGGAGTGTTTAAAATCTGAAGTAGAGCCCAGCAGATACTTAGATCGAATCCAGATGTGAAAACACACCTACTTTCATCCTGTCATATGTCAGTTATTTTATGACGAATTTGCATGTTTGACCTCTTGTTCTGTTCAGGAAAGTCCACACTCTCAGTATATCACATGCAAAAATATACAGAGTGACTCATAAAAATTCCAGTAAGTTTTCAAGTTTGGCCAAGTTTCGTTGTGTCCGGTATTTTGTTTTATGGAGAGAATCTATACTTAAATATGGTGTTGACTCTTCGTCTTGTTCAATTATCTTTCAAACAAGACCTGAATCGATTGAATCAGTCCATTATTAAAAGAGTTATTTTTCGAAATCTAAATTTGTTCAAACAACTCTATATTATTCGAAGAGGGAAGACGTTTATTCCAGTATAGGGTTTCCCAAAATTGCTGGGACATAGAGCTACCACGTTTAATAAAGGTCTAAGTAGGTTGATTGAACCCAATTTATTCATATACCAAAATTTTCCGTTTGTCCGTGAGAAGCAGAGGTCAAAGTTTACATAAAAAATACATACTTCTGTTCACTGTTCGGAAAAAATTTGTTAAAATTTTACAGAAGGGCATTTTAGAGAATAACTCTCCTTTCAGTAACCACAGAAGCTCAATAGAAATTCTAGAAGGACAGAAGCTACCCACACCACCTGACATTTTTTTTCGAATATTCTTAAGGGGGTTAATTCGGTTCTCAAATTATTTCAACGAGAAGACAGATCAATTATCTTCATTTTATTTGTCGTAAAAACTTAGTTCTCCCCATATTAACGAAGGAAGAGAAAGTAATGCTGAAAGATATTTCCAGTACAAGTTTAATATCATTGTAATACGAAATTCAGTTGACAGTTTTTTTTATGTTCTGGTTCCCACGAAAAGGGATATCCTATAATGTTCAGAGAACATCGTGAAAACCAAGAAGAATAAAGTAGGAATTGGTGTTCCTCTTGAATTTCTGGAGGTGGAAACAGAAGCAAAACGTTTCTTATAATAATAGTTCAATATGACGACCATCTTCATCAATACAATGGTCAATTAGACGTACAAAATTTCAATGCACCTGAATTTTGACAGAAGGTACATTTCGGTGAATAAATAAATTGGGTTCAATCAACTCATTTTGACCTTTATTACACGTGGTAGCTCAGTGTCCTAGCAATTCCGGGACACCCTATCCCTAACAACACAGGGATGTCCTAGGTACGTCCCTTTTTTGTCCCGCGGTACAAGGACATGATTGGGACATCCAGGGGATGTCCTGCAGTCGTTGTCCAGTGGACATCCCGCCCGGTACATCCCTAGGTTATCCTATTCGTGTCCCTGGAGTATCTGATATCCATTCACATCAGAGTCATTTAATTTCATCAAACTATTGAGTTGAACTTTTTTGAAAATATATGTTTCTCTTCCGGAAAATGATTGTAATGGAAATAAAGAATAAAGTCTCAGAACTTCTTGAAAAATTACAATTTTTCGCAGACAGAAATCGAACGTGCATATTGCCCCTCATTTTTAAACACCCAAGAATGATAATAATTATACCCAATTCCTAATAAAGTTGTATTCATTCAGGTTTCTGTAGTCCTGTTTATAAATCTGTTTAGTACATAAATCTTCAGTAGGCATGATAGCCAATGGAGCAAGGTGCGTGCATGATAAGCCAAAGGTCCCGGGTTCAATCCCTACTCGACCTGCAACTTTTTTCTTTTGTCGAAAGGATGTCCCTGGGATATCCTTGGGACGTCCTAGGGATATCCTTTATCGTACTTGGTACATCCCAGGGACGTACCAGAAGGACATCCCTTGGATGCCTTTTTTAGCGGCCAGCGGATGTCCCTGGGACATCCCTAGTATGTACGTTGTCCCGACAAAGGACATCCCTGGGATGTCCTAGTATAACATTAGTGACGTCCATGGAAAGTCCCTAGGATGTACTGGTGTTGTTAGGGATAGTAGATAAATTAGTCAAACTCTCCATCCAGAATGAATTCTATCTAATGAAGCAACCCTTCCTGTGTCTGTGAGATTTTGATCAGTATATTCGCGAATACATCACAATTAGCGCCTGTCCAGTCTTGGTTTTTTCTTGGTCTTGATACAAGACTGATCAGTCTTGGTCTCGCGAAGCCCTAATCACCATTCATCGATGAACGGACCATTATTTCCTCTTCAGTAAATAATGTCGGGAAACAGTACGAATATCCCATGTACCTATCAGAAGTGCCCGAGAAAGAGCTCCTGGACATCATCAACATCAACGTCGGAGCAGTCACTATGATGTGCCGAGCGTTCATCGACGACATGAAGAAGAGAGGACGAGGAGCCATAGTGAACGTATCTTCAGGGTCTGAGCTGCAGCCTCTTCCTCTGATGACAGTTTATGCAGCCACGAAGGTAAACGCACGAGAACATAACAGAGTGTGAACCAAAATCATTGTTTGTTCAATTAATTAACCTCTTTCAAATTCTCAAACACACGACATGTTTCACTAACACAGTAGCTTCCTCAGGTGATATACTGGTACAATGAACTGAACTAACCTTGGCTTGCTTAACTTTTATATATCTTACGTTCCCAACCAGAAGGATTAGTTACCTGTGGACAGGTTCGATAATCCTTCATTTTCGGAAATTAGGCACAATATCTACATTAAAATACGGTGTACCGAATTAACTTGAACGGGTTGATAGCAAATACATATTATTACCTACTAAGAAGACAAATTCAACATTAGTGAACTATTGAAGGCTAGTTGATCGTTAAGTGAAATACAGAATTTTTAAGGTTGTTGATTTCTAATGATTCAAAATGATTGAGTTTCATTCCTTCATTTTCTACGTGTAGAATTTTGAAATTATCATCAAAACTATGGTTTTCTTCAAATATATGGTTGACGTATGTTGAATCATTTTTCTCTTTAAAAAAATGTATCTTAAGTTCATGAATGCGCTGATCAAACGTACGACCTGCCTGACCGATGTATATATCTTAGGAATCAGGAACACAAAGCCGTCACCACAATTTCAATAGGGATCAAATTACTCAATCAGATCATCGTACATGTTTCGAGCCCATATAGACTCATATATTTATTGTCAAATTGTCATGTATCGAGATTTTGAAACATGAAGTGTTTACGATCCAATTCTGAACAACGCTCTTCAAGAAATTGTTATGTACAATATCATTCAACTCAATTACTGGCCTAGTAGTTGAGGCGTTGCTCTGACAATCTGAAGGTCACGAGTTGAAGCATATCTTGGGTCAGCTCTTTTTAATTATGAATATGTTTAGTAGAATATTCCAGGAATATTAATTCATTACTATTCCTGTACTATCTCTGGAATATTCCGAATTGTATCTCAATATTTCTAGAATAATATAGGTACATTCTGAATATATAGGAAATATTCCTTGTGAATATTCTAGGAATATATACATTCTTCCCCACCAGCACATTCGGGGAATATTCCGTAGAAGATATGTATATTCCTGACATGTTCATGAATATTCCCAATACCCTAAAATAATATGAATATTCACGGAATATCTGGTGCTGTCTAGGGGATACATTTTGGTGTAAAGTCGTCTTGCAAGTTGAATTTCCATTACGCCGGTGGGAAATTTCTAGTATATCGCATATTTCTTTCAATGAGTGTCTCATTGTTTAAATAAATTTGACAGCTCGTAAATGAACTTGTAATATCATGACAAGAGAGTAGCAATCATGGCCCTCAGACCAACTACGGTATTCCCTCAGGTTTATTAGCAGCTATGTTGTTATGCTTGATGATAATATACGAATGATATATATATTTGAACTCAGATTGACGAGCTCTATCAAATTATGAAAAATACTATAGTCATTTCATTTAATAAGAATGTTTTCTTGAGCCGCTCTGTATTTAGTTGATACAGAGAAAAAGTGATCTCAGATTAAAAAAATTCGTGAAAAATTATTCCAGAAAAGTTTTTGAATGAATATGTTATGAATTATGAGAATAAAGGGGGTTGACACCACAGTTGAGAGAATATTACATTAATATTCTCTCAACTGTGGGGACACCTTTGAGTTCTCGGACTGCGCAGAATTAGTGCGCAGTCGTGTCGAATCGTAGAACTGTTTCAGAACGGTTCACAAATTATCCCGAACGCGGCAGAAGAGAACCTCTGAGAACATAACCTCTTCAAAATTTGCGAAAAAAAAAAAACAATAGCTTCAAACCTGTATCTTAATTGGAATAATATTCTGAAGCTTCAAAGTATCCTTTGAGTCTATTCACAATACAGGTATCTCTGAAAAACCTCTGTATATAGAGGAATGGTAAATACATATATTCGATCATAGCAATAGTAGCTAGATTTTCAACATGTTTTGTCCCTTGTACAGAATCTCAGAAACATATAATCCTTCATTTTTCGGTGTATCTAACAAAAGTCCAAGAATCATCAGATTAGGTACAATATTTTCAGCAAGGAACTCCTTCACCACTGCTTCCTGACGATAAAGAACTCCATGATATTAAAAAAATATTGAAAATACCATTAAACAGTAGTATATACAAAAATATAGCATTATGACGTTACCTTACAACAGACAGAATCGAAAACTGAATGAAATGAGCTGGCGCCAAAAATAATCCCAGAACGTTTCACGCTCGAGAGGAGGTATACTAACTGGTTTTGGATAGTTCTATGACCGTCCCAGGACGATTCTGAAAAATCCCGAACACGTAAAGAGTGAGTCCTAGAACAGTTCCACAAAACCCGAACGCGACCGATTCTACTGCGCAAACACCTGACAGTTCTAGAACAGTATTTATTCGAACCCGAATGAACCTTATAAACTATGATTGTTGAAAACCAAGTAAGGTAACTTTATTTTGATAATAGTCAACAAGTTAAAAATGAAACAGATAAAGAGGCAGAAAATTGTAACAATGAATGCGAGTGGTGCGTGATTTTGAAGAGTAGAACCTACATGGCGTGCTGTATAGGAGAATATAACGAATTAAAATTGTAAGCGTTCTTTCTTCCTTGGGTTTTTGAATTTTTTGGAAATTCAAGGAGTTGAAGAAAAGAATGCAGTCAAATCGAGTTTGTTCAATGGCACATGATATCAGGGTTATTGAGCAATTTGTTCATTCCAAAGATCTCCACAATATTTAGTTTCCTGCTTTTTGTCCAAACATGTGATAAATGAGATTCAGTATCTGCGTTGAAAGAATGTTTGGAATTGAGAACAAGATTACCAAAGGAACAAAGAGAATTGATATCGATACTGTTTGAATTTCGAATGCACACTTCACCAGTAAACTTGTGGAGAAGACTTTGAGTTTTTTTCTCTCTTCGATCATTCCCATCCCTTTTCACTTCGAGTATGGACTACTTCAGAAGATTCTTCAAAATAACTATTTTTTCAGGCGTACATAAAGAGCTTCACGGCAGCCCTTCGCTACGAGTACGGCAGCACCGGCCTGACTGTGCAGCATCTGGCACCCATGTTTGTCAACACAAAGATGAACGCTTTCAGCGCCAGGCTTCGCACCAGCACATTCTTCGTGCCCGACGCTCGGGAATATGCCGCCTATGCCGTCGCGACGCTGGGCAAGGTGGACGAGTCGTCAGGGTACTGGACGCACGGCATACAGGTGGGTGGTTCGCGATATAAAGCAGTCATGCAGAAACTGACAAGAGTCTAGTGAAGGTGGTTATCACACAAAAAAAGAATTTCTCTAACCCCCTAAATCTGCTTTACTTCAAGCATATGGTTTGTTTATACAGGGTGGTTCATGAGAAGACTCACATAGCCAAATGGTTAATAGGGGAAATCAAGACGAGTTGATGTATACAGTGTGTACATAAAGTAAGGAATAAATTCATTATCTCGAAAAGGAAAAGCTTTTCGGAAAAATCCTTGGACACGTCAACTTTTGTTTCAAGATGCGCATCTTTTGGAGTCCTAGTCGGAATGGTGACGTCATTACTCTTCCGGAAATGTCATCATCGATTTTTTTTTCAAATGGCAACCTATAGTTTTGACAGTGCCATTTGAAAGAGCATATTTTTCTCCACACAGCACATCAAAAGTTTTGTCATGTTACATAAGGAAATTTTCGAGAAAATGAATGTTATCATGATTTTATAGTAATTTATTTTACACAGTTGATTGCACAAACTAATTGATCAAATGTTCAAACTGAAGTCCTTCCTGAGCCTGGCAGTATCCAAGACGGTCAATAAATTCTCGTTGGACTTTCGTGATAGTTCGTGGAGTAATATTGTTACATTCATTTGTAATCCTAGTTTACAATTCCTCGATATTATCTGGTCTAGTTTTGTACACGACATTCTTTAGATGGCCCCAAAGAAAAAAATCTAATGGAGTGAGGTCCGGAGATCTTGGGGGCCATTCAATAGCACCACGCCTACCTATCCATCTATTGGCAAAGACTTGGTCAAGATACCTTCTAACATCAGCTGCGTAATGCGGCGGTGCACCATCTTGCTGGTACCATAAGTTTTCATTTGGTATAGCAGGGTTATTTGCGTTAGGAAATAAGATCACCAGACTGGGTATAACATGATCCTGTAGGAATTGAAGGTATCTTGCACCATTTAAGGTTTCTTCGAAATAGTGGGGTCCAATAATTCTGTTTTCTACAATCGCCGCCCAAACATTTATTTTCTGAGAATACTGTGTGTGATGTTCTCTCATCCATTTTGGATTCTCCTTAGCCCAGTATCTGCAATTCTGCCGATTCACTGTTCCTGTTAGTGTAAAGGTAGCTTCATCAGAGAAAGCAATATTTTTTACTAGCAAAGGGTTGGCATTGCACAAATCCATTAACGTTTGGCAGAACTGCATCCGTCGGTCTGGATCGTCCTCGGAAAGTTCTTGGGTCAGAGTCATCTTATAAGGATGTCACTTTTCCAATTTCATAATTTTATGTGTAGTTGTAACTGGGATATCTAGATTGTGGCTCAGGCTTCTTAGGCTGTTGTGTGGATTTTCCTCCATTGCTAATAAAACATTCAATTTGACCTCCTCATTGATTTTAGGACGCCCAGCTTTAGGGAGATCATCAACACTACCAGTGTCTCGAAACTTTTTCTCAACTTTGCTTACTGCCGATTGAGTTATGGGCCTATCCGGGTATTTAGTATTAAACAGTCCAACTACTTCTTGTTGCGTTCGTACTCTATCACCGTAGCCAATCATCATCATAATTTCGATTCTCTGAGTAACAGAAAGGCGCATTTTATTCTTAATTGTTTCGAAAAGAAGAGAATCAATGAAATATGAACTTTCAAACTGTGGCATACATCAACCAAACGTCAGGTATCACAAACAGTAACATGTCTTTTTACGATAATAAAAAGGGTGATTTTTTTAGGGCTTAGCAAAAACGAACTCACCAGTGGCGTGCTGACAGAGAACTTTACAATGCTAGGAAGGACTTTTTGAACCCTTCATTGATTAGTTTGTTCAACTAACCGAATAAAGTAAGTTAACTTAAAATCAATAAATCATTAATTTTCTCGAAAATTTCCTTATGTAACATGACAAAACTTTTGATGTGCTGTGTGGAGAAAAATATGCTCTTTCAAATGGCACTGTCAAAACTATAGGTTGCCATTTGAAAAAAAAATCGATGATGACATTTCCGGAAGAGTAATGACGTCACCATTCCGACTAGGACTCCAAAAGATGCGCATCTTGAAACAAAAGTTGACGTGTCCAAGGATTTTTCCGAAAAGCTTTTCCTTTTCGAGATAATGAATTTATTCCTTACTTTATGTAATTGCTCGAGTTCTATGATAGCTAGAAACCTGATTCAAAAACGAATGTGAATGAGATAAAAAGGTCCATAACTAGAAATTATTGCCGCATATACAGGGCGCACCGAGAATAATCTAGAGGGTCGGGATCAATTTTTTCAATCGGAATGCCCAGTATATTTGCATATTTTTTTAAGCATCCCTGTGATCTCCATCCACTCCTATAATATCGTTGACTACATCTCTTTCGTATCAAAGTTATGAATTTTTTGGTCGAAATATTGTCATCTGCAGATGCCTACCGAAAATATCACTGTTGTCACAATTATAAACTTTAGGAAAAAATAATCTCAATATCATTTATTGAAAAGATGAGTGACATTTCTGAAAATGTTTCAGGCTCTCGAATGATACAGGGTGGCTGAAAATGATTTTTCAATTCGGAACTTTTCGAAGTGATTTTTCTCGTGTTTTTCAAATCGAACACCCCATATATTATTTGACCATTTGATGTAAAATCGAAACACGAACATATTTATTCGAACATTCATATCGATATTCGCAACCATTTTTGAATTTTTGAACTTTGAAAATTTTAGGTTGGCCATTTTCATCGATACACAAAAGTTCAATCAACAATTTAGTAAACCAATTTTTTATTGAAAGAATCGATGTCAGAACCAAAGCAGACATGAATAGGTCATAATTATGCTAAATATTCACAAAGTAGAGACGGAAAAAATTTCATTTCTCAATTATTCTGGTTTTGCTTTCAATGTGCCATGAATTTATGGGATACTTGAGAAATGCAAATTTTGTCTCTTTTTACTTTGTGAATAACTAGCATATGAACATTTTCTGTTTGCTTCGACTCTGGTATCGATTCTTTCTTTGAAAAAATTGGTTCACTAAATTAATAATTGGACTTTTGATGTTTTAATGACAGATAAGAATCTGAATCGATCAAAATCGCCAACCTATGGTTTTCAAAGTTCAATAATTCAAAAATGGTTATGTATATCGATATGGATGTTCAAATAAGTATGTTAGTGTTTCAATTTCACATCAAATGGTCAAAAAATATATGGGGTGTTCCATTTGAAAAACTCGTGAAAAATCACTTCGAAAAGTTCCGAATTGAAAAATCATTTGAGGGCCTGAAACATTTTCAGAAATGTCACTTATCTTTTCAATAAATGATATTTAGATTATTTTTTCTCAAATTTTATAATTGTGACAACAGTGATTATTTCGGTAGGCATCTGCAGATGACATTATTTCGACAAAAAATTCATAACTTTGATATGAACAAGATAAAGTCAACGATATCATAGGAGTAGATGAAGGTCACAAGGATGCTTCAAAAAATATGCAAATATACAGGGCATTCCATTTAAAAACAATGATCTCGACCCTCTAGATTATTTTTGGTGCACCCTGTATATGCGGCAATGATTTCTAGTTATGGACCTTGTTGTCTCATTCACATTCGTTTTTGAATCAGGTTTCTAGCTATCATAGATGTCGAGCAATCGAGCTCCGACGCACTTATGCCCCACCCTGTATATGAATACATTTTTTGACCCTCCATAACGAAGATACAGGGTATCATGTGGAGTCTTCCATGATTATGATTTCAGCTGTTGGATGGTTCTCCTGAATTAAGTCGAGATTGATGAAAACTCAAAGAGGTTCCTATATTCATAGAGAGGAGAAATTGGGGAAAAGGGTGGGGAAGACCGGAAAGTATTGACCGAACACTGAAACATGGAGTGATTCATTTCACAGCACACAAAGTCTACCATCTACCACCTAAAGTTAATCTTTTGGTCGCCTCTTACGACAGGCAGGATTTACCATGGGGGGGGGGGGTTATCCTGAGCCGCTTCATACTTCAAAAGAATGATGAAGATGCTTGCAAAAAGTTTCCTGCAACGCAGGTGTCGTTCCTGTTAAAAACCTCAAATTTTCTTATTTTAATATAATGTAATATTTGCTCAATATGGATTATTCAATTTTCCTGTCACAGAAAAGAATACATTTTAATATAATGTAATATTTTCTCAATATGGATTATTCAATTTTCCTGTCACAGAAAAGAATAATGTATTATACACGGGAAAAATATTAGATTTTAGCTCACGGTTTCTTGTCTCCCTCCGCTACGCGTCGAAAGACAACACAACCTGGAGCTATATAATCTACTTTTTTCCCTTGTATAATTGATAACTATCCATACCGAAGACAGGAACCTTTGACATGATAATCACACCGACACTGATTTTTTTAACGCCTCGACTCGTGTTTCGAAAACAATGTTAGCATCTTCAGGAGAAGATTAAAAATACATAAAATATCCTATGTAGATATGATGCTCATATATTCCTACTATAGATATGTTCAAATAGTCATCTAGAAACTTAATCAAGAAAAAAGTTCTGAAATCTGTTCGAGAGGTAAACATTTTCACATTATTTTTTTTCCTCAGCAATCGATGACTATCGATTACGGCTTATCCCCTCTTGTCCTCCTTAAGAAACAAAAGAGTCGTTCTCAGCTCAGGACATCAGCTGAGCGTCCCATATTGAGTGATATTTTGCGATCAGAATAGTTTTAAAGTTTGATTGCAAATTCAACTTCATTAATTTTTTCACTTCTCTTTTCAGACTTTCTTCACAAAATTCCCGCCATCTTGGATTCGAATGTATATTGGAGCTCATCTGAATCTCTCCTTCAGAAGGGATTACTTCAAACAGAAGAATAGTACGAAAAATAACGGTACTATCAAGGGCGAAGATCGTATAAAGTCAATATAATCATCAAGATGAATTGAGAAGACATACGTTAGGACACGCTGCTCAAGGAAAGTGTCATGTATAGCAGAATGTGTGAATCGTCTTCAAATGCCATATCACCAATCCACTTTCTATGTATAGTTCTCAAGGTCCCTAGTTTTTTTTTTGTATCTATAATCTATGGGTCTTATATTTTTTTACTCAACGAGTGTTTGATATATGTATAATGTTCTGTTTACTTTCATCAATACTATAATGAATCTTATTATGTGTATACTAAGTATACTGTTCATCAAATAGTTGTTTTTGTATCTAACGCGCGAAATGCTACCTTTGTGATCGAGTACTGATTGTTTTAACGAGGCGCAGTCGACTTAAAAAAATAGTTGAGATAACCAAAATATTTGGTGCACGAGTTGCAAACAACATTTTTTCTACGGACGTCAAAAAACATAGAAAGTAGTGTGCTCAGCTCAATATAAAAAATAGTTTTGAACTGTCAAAAAATGCCTCAATTATTTTTGAACATTCAGATATGAATTATTTCTTGGATGTTTGCTCGATTGACGACCATAACGTTTAAATACAAAAATTTCATATAAAGTTCACATACAATGCGCGAAGTATGTACTTCGCGCATATTTTAATTCCGCGCACTGCTTCGCACATGGTGTCTGGGTAACGTAGCAAACTAAACAAAAAGTGTCACTCCGCAAATTTTTATCGATGCGCGAACCTTGCTATTTTTTTATGTTTGTAGAAAAATATATTTTTTCCACCACCAACCTTGTGCACCAACCTGAGAAATCACCATTATTCGAGGAATTCCTCTGATGTAATGATGTAATGACACTTTTTGAACCTAAATATATAAATATTAATAAAATGAAGGTATGTTACCTATTTGAAACTGTCAATAGTGTCAATGATACCTATATATTATATATTCGTATGCAACCAATGAAAAATGAAACATTCTTTTATCCAATTAAAGCAATATTTAAGGTAAGAAAAACGTTTTTTTTACTCACATCACTGAAATGGCACTTAGCGTACGGATATGTACCACGCTAAATGATCGATTGATCACGGATTGATGATCTGTGATTTATTCAAAAAATTCAACACGTTACCATGGCAACAAAATTTCTTAAACCCATTACCATGGCAACAAAGTTTTTCAAACACACCTTCAGTCGTTTGAGTCCTATCCTGTCAGGCCTGTAAATTGTATATAGGAACTGTCAATTGTCATTTTGGAATTTTGATGCAATCAGAATTCTTCATTGGAGATGTATGCGAATTGTAGACTAAAGTGAAATCGAAGATAATGTTTTAGATAATTGCATATTTCCAAGAACTCTGTATAAAAATGAAGCTCTCATCGTTGTGGGCAATTCATTCTTTAGGATTCTGAATGACAATAAACGTAAAAAACAATATTTATCTGAGCAAAATTATGCAATCAGAATATGCATACAAACCTGAGAAACCAAAAACCTTTGATACCTCAATGAATTGAAGAGTTTTTATCTTCTACGTCAGATGAAAACTTCTTGTTGTCTATAATTTCAGAAATTATCGAGTGCTATTAATTCATAAACTGCGGTAGAGTATAGGCTATGAAAAAAATTCTTATATTCTGACGACAGTTCCTAATCACTAGTGTGATAGTTTTGGTAACGTTAATATGATTGGTGGACTAAAGGTCTGCAGGGAACAGCCAGGGCAAAGCTTGCTGGTCTTCAGCGGCTGGCATGCTTGGTAATTACAGGGGCGATGTCCTCTACTCCAACGGCAGCGATGGAAAACCTCTTGAACCTTACACCCCTCCACATTGTCTTGGAGAGGGAAGCCAGGATGTTTTCCTACAGATTCCTGTCATTGGAAAATCAAATTAGAGGGGGACGACTGCTGGACCACTCCGGGATAATGTGTGAAACAAAAAATCACCAAACTCTAGGAATGGTTCCCGACATGTTAGCCACTCAGACACACGTGAAAAAGTCTTTCAAAGTCCTCTTTCCGAAGACGAATGGGCAAGTGGATCAGTCCAATTCCCAGAGACCGAACACGTAATTTACACAGATGGTTCGAAAACCCCTCTTGGAGTTGGAGCCGGTGTGTTCAGCAGAAAACCGAAGACGGAAATTTCCGTCAATCTCGGCGAATATGCTACAATCTTTCAGGCGGAGGTATTCGCAATTGAATTGTGTGCTAGAGAGTTGTCGAATAAACCTCTAGCAAACAAAAATATCAGTATAGTTTCAGACAGTCAGGCTGCTCTTGAAGCACTGAGCTCCAGCAAGATAAATTCCAAGCTTGTATGGAGCTGTATTTAATCCCTAGAATGCCTGGGTGCTAACAACAGAGTCACTTTGCTGTGGGGCCTGGACACCAGGGGGTGGAGGGTAACGAGAAAGCCGACATCCTCGCCAAACAGGGAACCGAATCTGTGTTCATAGGACCAGAACCATATCTTGGGGTCAAACAACTACCTCGGAGGGAAAAACACTCACGTACTGGTCTGAATTACCAGGATTAACCCATTCGAAGGCGTTCCTGCCTAAACCATCGGAAAAAATAACCAGGCAGATCCTAGAATAGAACAGGGGTAACCTGCGAATTCTGACTGGACTGCTTACGGGACACTGTCGTCTAAGATACCACCTGGGAAGGATGGGTCTGAACCAACAAACGGACTGTCGGTTCTGTTGTGTGGAAGACGAAACGGCTGAACACATATTATGTTCATGCTCTAGCTTAGAAAGACTAAGGTTCGACACATTTGGCTTTACCAATTCAGAACCTATCGATTTCAGACAAATCTCACCCAATTCAACCATGAACTTTGTAAAAAGATGTGGATTGTATGGTGAACTGTAACCTCTAGGGGTGCGCCACAATAGACCCATCTGGGGTCGCAGTGGAGGAGAGGTATTCGCCCCACTCACATGGAACCTAACCTAACCTAACCTAATATGATTGTTGTTGATTGTATCGTAATGTTACATTTCAAAATAATCATGTTTTTCTTCTACAGATTTTATCCGCATGCATGATATAGATGCACCTTTCCCAAGAAAAAATGTTTATGACCTGTGTGTGTAACTTCGTATCAATCTGGCAAAACGTTGTTTTCCTCAAATATTGTAGAATAAAATATCTCAGTCGATTCTTTCGTGCCGCTGGCAGATTTAAAAACTATCTCACATCATTATTATGGGGTTATTGACAACATAATTTTTGTTATCAATTTGCTCAATTGTGACGCATTTTCCAGAAGAATTCAATTATTTTTTAACCACAACAATTGGAAAACCACATATAATAATAATAATAATAATAATTTATTCACAACTATAAATATGCATAATACATTTCATAAATCAGATAATCAATATAAGTTGCAAAAAGGGGTTGAAAACAATTAAAATTGATCCTAGTTCAACCCCTGGAATTATATAATTTGAAATAATAAAATATTTCCGCAATGTAAATGTTACTAAGTTGGCTGTTGAAGATTGAAAATCAGTTAATACTTCATGTATATAGTTCAGTATTTCATGACGAGATTCTTGTATGATTTTTTAAAAGTATCCGGTTTCAAAGATTTCATTTCATATGGCAGTTCATTAAATAATTTAAATACATTATAAGTGAATGATCGTTGGAAATGCTGTGTTTGATGAGGTGGGGGGGAAATATAACTTTTGAATCTCAAATTCAACGTATGTACATCAGTTCTGTATTTTATTTTATTACATAAATAAGGAGGGCATTTGGTGAATATAATATTATGGAATAAATTCACTGCATGAATTTTACGTCTTTCTTCCATGCTCAACCACTGGGTTTCCTTCAATTTGAAGGAGATACTTTCATATTTGCGAATGCCATAGATGAATCTTAAGCACGATTTTTGAACTTTCTGGATTCTTTCACTATCTTTCTTATCTATACACGGTCCATATACAGCATCGCAGTAATTAAAGTGGCTCAGCACCAGTGAATCTGTTAATTTTATTTTCAATGACTCTGACAACAAATGGCGATTAGGGTACAACATTTTCAAGCTACCATACGCTCGTTGGATACATTTATTAACGTGCGGCTTGAAACGTAAATGAGTATCAAATTCGAGACCGAGATTTCTTGAATTTTTGGAGCACTGCAAAGAATTATCTTGAATTTTAACACTAAACACCGATTCTACCAACTGCTTTTGTCTACCGAATATTAATACTGATGACTTTGATGCATTCAATTGTAAATTATGGTTATCTGAAAATGCGATTAATCGATTTAAATCAGAGTTAATTTTATCTTGAGCTAGTTGTTTATCGCTTGGGAAAAAAGACAAATATAATTGTGTGTCGTCTGCATATAAATGAACAGAACAATGCATCAGGCACGTTGTTAAATTACATGTGTATATACCAAACAAAAGAGGGCCAAGTATTGAACCTTGAGGAACTCCGCATACTGAAAGTTGTTTCGTTGAAACACCTTTGCTGGTTTCTACAAATTGAAGTCTGTTTGTTAGATAATCCCTCATTAATTCGATCGCATTCTCAGAGAATCCAATGAAATGTAATATAGATATTAACAAGGAATGATTCAAGGTATCAAATGCTTTCGAATAATCAAGAAGCACCAAAGCTGTTGATTTTCCCTGATCTGTTGCTCTTATAATGTCATCTGTGATATTTAGTAAAGCAGTGGTGCAACTGAATCCTGGTCTGAATCCTGATTGATTTTGTGGCAATATATTGAAAGTATTCAGATGTTCCCTGATTTGATAATTCATAATTTTCTCAATAACCTTCGACAAAACTGGTAAAATGCTAACAGGTCGTAAATCGTTATAGGCAGACGGATCTTTTTTTTTTGGTAATGGAATAACTCTGGCGATTTTCCAGTCATCTGGAAAGATGTTATCCAAAATACAGGAATTTACTATATTGGTGATGAACGGAAGAATTCTTGAACAACATAGAAGAATCATTTCTAAACTTATC